AGCCACTCCATTTAAAAGCATAATTACGTAAAATATGCGTCATCACCCTCAATATTATAACGAACTTCTGCATAATACTTACCTCAATATAGCGTGGTTAACTATTGCAGCCACGTAGAAGTTTGAAACGCACAAAATAGGCTTTAAAAACAGATTTGGCTTCACAGCACTGTAAATGCTACATCCCAACTGACGGCAAGCGTTTAGCGACGTTCCGAGACGTGGGGCGCCTCCACCCATAATTTACCGATAACACATAACGCGTTCTTTTCAAGTAGTGGATACGACTACGTCTAACATATTTTCAGACGGAATTTGGAAAAGTCACCCCAAGAGGTAAAGTCACCCCATTTCACGGAATAACCTTACTTTCTATAATTCTTGTTTTTATAAATATTCTCTAAACAAACTGTTTTGGGTCAAGAGTCAGCAAAATTGACAGTTTTAGACTGACTACTCAAAATCGCACTTTTTCTACTACTCTTTTATTTGTTATTGATGGCTGATGTACCCTAAAATTATATGAGGTGACAAAAGCCTCATTAGCTAAAATAATTTATTAAGAGTAGTGGGAAAATACCGTATGATCGAATAAAAACAGCGTCAGCGATGGCTAGGAAATGAAGATCGCTGTCATTTTATATGTAAATTTATATGGGAAGTGTCATCAATTGTCATTTCATAGCTATCGCTGACGCCGTTTTTATTCGACCATACGATATATCAATCTTTTGGTGATTTTAATTTTCCCAATTGAATGTGTAATAATACAAGGAAAATGGTAGCAGAATCGTAGAATTTTCTCATTAGAGCAAGACAAAGGAATGCATCTCAAACACTGATTGAACCTCATTTTGAAGCCGACAAAACTGTATTTGATCATAAACTGATTCTGCATGAAATAATTGATTGTGAAAAAGAAAAAAAAATCTTAAATTCCTATAAAAAAATAATGCAACTGCTTGAAACTAAATACTAATTTTTTCAAAGATCACTTATACAGAACAAGACTGCCGAAGTTGGGATTCTATTTCTCATAACTCTATATACCGAGTGCGTCTCAAAAGTGGTTCACCCCTATAACTTGTTTATTTTTTCAGAAAAAAAAAATGAAATTTGGTATGTTAGTAGGTATGCGACATAAATTAGGATTAATTGACGTATTCAATTGTTTTTTGTCACTTCCTGTTTCACTGGAAATTACTACTAATTTTTTATTTTTAAATGGCACCCTCGATATATTTCTACTTTATGACATTTCTCATCTTTTGATATTTTCGATTAAAAATACGATTTTGGCATCTTTTCGACCGGCCAGGACAAGACACGAAAAACATTAGACGATCAAATCTAATTTTCCAAGGCTCCTTGTTTAAAAATTAGTGTTTTTAACAGAGCCATGGCACTCTACATTGAAATTTAAAATATAATGTTTTTTGAACGAAAATTTCAAAAGTTGACATAAGATATGTCATTCTACTCAGAGTGTCATTTTCTATCGAATAAAGTGGAAATATACCGAGGTGCCATTTAAAAATCAAAAGTTTTAGTCATTTCCGGTGAAACAGGAAGTGGCCAAAAACAATTGAACAGTCAATCAATCCTAATTTATGTCTAATTCTAACATACCAAATCTCGGTTTTTATGTAAAAAAATAAAAAATTTATAGGGGTGAGTCAATTTCGAGACGCACCCGGTAAACAAAGAACAACAACCGCAAACTAAGATTGAAAGAAGAGAAGAATTTTGGAGTATCTTTAAGTGAAAAGAATTATAATAACTATGGGGGGGGGGCGCCAGATAGGGTACTCGCCCGGTCTTAATATTTCCCTTCCGCCGGCCCTGTGTGCCGGTCAAGCTTAATCACGTGACTAAAAGTTTATTTGGTATAAACTGTAGAAAGAATGGAAACATTATCTCTGTTATGTTTCCGTACTCGTATATTTAGTTTGATACTCTCATAAGAATCTAATTGGCTGTCATTTGAAATATCTTTTATAGTTTAAAATTAGTCACATAAAGGCACATCTACCATGAATCCATGTTTAATCTTTTTTAATCCAATATTGATTCACCTTTACGTCATCGAAAATTTAACAACCGTTTATAAGAAGATTTTTTTTTATTAAAGTAATACTAACAGTGTATATAAGGTGCAGTTGAACAAAACTGGATTAAATTGAAAAAAACTATATAGATAAAGTTGAAACAAATAATATTTTTACTTAGGAGTGCCTTATTCCATGTGAGAATATGCTTATTTTAAGCTGACTAGGCTGGCATTTTAAACTGCATGTGAACACACGCAGAATAATATTTTTTTGTAGCTAACCAAGTCATACACGTCTACATCTCTGTATCTGTATCTACCGTTTGTCTTGTGATAAAAAACAAGAATTCCAGTGTAAATGTTATTTCTCTTCAATGCTAAGCAGGTCTAACTAAACAAATGTTATTTGAATGGACTAACAGTTAATTTTTATTTGCTGGAAGGCTTTACAGCATCGTTGTTTTTAATCCTTCAAATCCGCCGGTCTATTAATACAGAGAGGCATGAGTGTAAAAATATGAGAGTATAATATGTGTAAAAAAATCAAGAATATACTTAAAGTATCATTTAAGGAAACATCAAAGGTAACAATAGAATTTTTAAGCGCAAAGTATTAATAAAAGTCAGCTAAAACAAAATAAAGGATATACAAAAGTTATTTTTTAATGTTCAGCAGTCTAAATGCCAGAATTATGTGTATAAAATAATTATTAGTTTATGAATTTACAGTATTCATTTTTAGTGTATTTTAATAATATCGAAAGACGTAACAAAACCAATATATACATATGATTTAATTTATAAAAAATAACAAAATATTATAAAATCTCAAAATATTTATTAAATGGAAAATTTACAAGTTACACAGGTATTGCAAACAAACTTTATTTTTGAGCGCTTGTTTACAGATTACATTCTAATATTAAAATGTTATTAATAGGTACCTGGTTCCTGAGATATATCTATGTTCCTGAGATATAACTATATATCCTGAGATATATCTATGTAATTTATTTTTTCATCTGAATCAGTTTGAAAATTTCGTGAAAGGTACGTGAGTTTTTTAAGTCAGTTTACTTTACTCTGCCTACTATTGTTTGTAGGAACAACGCCAACAACAAACAACGCTTTATTGTGCAAAAAGCCAAAACAGCTTCATCGACAAAGCACTCACAAAACAGACAAAAGCACAAAAAAATAAACAAACAACAAAAAATACACAATACAAATCATACAATTCAAAAAAATTTAAGTCATTAAAATTACAAAAAGAACATACATGAACAACTGCAGAACCGTAAGCAGTAAATAGATATAATTTTAAGAGCTATAAAATATTAAATACTTGACCTTTGACCAGTGTGTGAGATGATCAAAATTTTGAAATTCAAAATTGTTCATGATTAAACATCAACAAAAAAGTCGTTTACCGCATATAGCGCTCTCTCCAGTAAGTATGATTTCAGAGCTTTGCGAAATGCGGGAAAGAATGAAAGCAACTTGATTCAATGGCTACTTAACTAGTTCTGAGCTCGGGGTTGGCAGATAAAGATCGTGCTCCGCATTCCTAAGTGGATAGTTAGGAGATGGCCTTTCGGGAATAGCAGATATGTGCTTGTGGATTAAGCAAACGAATTCAAAAATGAATAAAGAAGGAAGAGTCAGTATTATGAAATTTTTAAAGGAATTCTGGCAGTGAGTTCTACTGTTCAGTCCCAATAAATATCGAACTGCTCTCTGTAGTAATTCTGCTGACTTTGCAGAAACTGGGCCACCATAGCGGAGGCATGGTGGTCTCTCATCGTTAAGTTCGGAGAGAGTCTCTTGTATCGTTTCCGTCGTCTCAAAAAACTACCGTTATCTTCCGCTAAAGGATCTAAGGTCCAGTAGTTACCTTTACCAGGATTACCAGGTTCTCGAGGTATCTTGATGAAACAATCATTCAAGGAGAGGTTGTATCTTATCGAGTTTTGCCAGGCGGGGAATTTTTCCCTGTAGTATCCGAATCTGGTCATAATAAACTCACAAATTCCACTCAAAGTAAGTTTCTTTTGAGGCGATTGAAGTATGATATGAGTAAGGTGGTTTAATCATCTGTCCGGATTTCTTCATGGATTTGTCGCTGTAATATCCTCGGTTTTGATGGATGTTTGAGATTCTACTGAGCCACGGAGATCAAGCGGACTGTCCGGCATAGGGTAGCGTTGTTCCAGCATGTCTCCTTCCTTGATATCTTCCGTCGCCAGGTGACGACAGTCCTCTTCCATCGCTAGCATTTGTCAAAAATGTCACAATGCAGAATCATTGAATATTATTATCATTTATTTTCAACATTCAAAATTGTTTAGATAAAAATAAATGAAAATACAAGATTATATTTTATCAAGACAATAAATTAATTTTTTGTTATATTTTTGTGTTCTCTCTTATCATTTTAGAAATTTTCTTTAAAAGGTCTTAATTTATTGTAAGAGGAAATTAGAAGTAAAGAGAAGATAATTTTATTTTTCTTTCTAAGATATATAAAGTTCTTAAGCAAATTTTAGTACATTTATCTGCATTGTTTAATAGAAATTATAAGGTATTTTGTATGTAAAAATAAACTACGATAAGTAAATTACTGGGTCTTTTATTATTTTCAAATATACACAAATATATTATTAGAGTAATCATCTAAAACTTATTAAACTAAGTTGGTGTAATGACTTTTTATATTTATATACACAGTATAAGGAAATGTAAAATATACAATATACAGCCTCTAATGAGATTTATCTACATCGACACTAAAACTAACATTAGCCTTACTCTAAAAGTCTACAACGTTATACATAATAAATATTGCAACAAAATAATCACATTACAGTCTATATTAAAATCTTTGGTCTTACATTATAAAAGATTCATCGAACGAACATTTCGGGTTCCACATTAAGTCTAAGAGAAAACTTCACCTTGTCCAATCGTCGTTGGACGATAATGAGAAAAACGCACTCATTTGGTTATGTAAACGAGGCAACACTATGTCCGGACTTTGAGAATTGCTTTTCCTCGAGATATCTGGTTTATTTCCTGCTTTACTCTCGTTACCGATGATTGAATCTATCGAAAATCCATTCTTCGCTTTCTTGTGAATCTCCGTCGGAAGATAGTCCTCGGTATCAGACACTGGAGTAACGCTAGTTGGTTGAACTGGAACGGGTTTACAGATGTTTGGTTGTGCAATTAATCCCAAAGGTGGTATTCCGAATCTGGACAGGTCCATTGGACTTAAAAGAGGTAATCCGTTAGAGAGACTTGTAGGAATACCTGGTAAGTACGTGTAAGGATTGTGAAGACTCGCATGACTGAACAAACTGTTGTGGTAGTTCTCCTGACTTTGCAGAAACTGAGCTACCATAGCAGAGGCATGGTGGTCTCTCATCATTAAGTTCGAGATGGTCTCTTGTATCGTTTCCGTCGCCTCAAAACTACCGTTATCGAACATGTCTCTGCTAAAGGATCTAAGGTCCAGTAGTTACCTTTACCAGGATTTCCAGGTTCTCGAGGTATTTTGATGAAGCAATCGTTCAAGGAGAGGTTGTGTCTTATCGAGTTTTGCCAGGCAGGGAATTTTTCTCTGTAGTACCCGAATCTGGTCATAATAAACTCGCAAATTCCACTCAAAGTCAGTTTCTTTTGAGGCGATTGCAGTATTGCCATGGTGATTAGAGCGATATACGAGTAAGGTGGTTTAATCATCTGTCCGGATTTCTTCATGGATTTATCGCTGTAATTATCCTCGGTTTTGATGGATGTTTGAGATTCTACTGAGCCACGGAGATCAAGCGGACTGTCCGGCATAGGGTAGCGTTGTTCCAGCATGTCTCCTTCCTTGATGTCTTCCGTCGTCAGGTGACGGCAGTCCTCTTCCATCGCTAGCATTTCAGTCAAAAATGTCACAAATTGTCACTGAATCGAACACAATAAGCGCGGAACACTAACCGGCCGCGGTACTAACGTGACGTCTGTTGATGAATGAGCGCTTGGAAAAACAGTCGTACCTTTTTAATAAGAACGTAGTCCCTGTTATCTCTAAATCACTGCACATCGGTATACAGAGATAAGAGATATGAGGCGGTGTAGTTTAGTAACACACCCACTTCGATAAGTCGGCGATGGCACGATGACGGTCCAGTCGGCAGATTGGGTCGTCGGTGACTGCTTTCTGGCAATGTTATACCAATATTATCTTGCCAAGAACAATGATGGTTCAAGCCACCACATTTCCGGCAACGATGTGCGAAAACAAAGCGGTCTGGTCCGGTGGAGGGGGATGCGGGCACGCCCCCAGCGAGCCGTCGTTCCGCCCATTTCACCCCTAAGGTATCGGGGTTTTACGTAGGGATTTGCACACGTTCCTAAAGTACGATTGTTATTCGGCCTGAATGTCGCCCGGATTGATTTTTTTCCTTGTCGCTCTCTCTGTCTTTGCCCGCGTCGGTCTCGCTCGCGCCCTTATTCGTTTTGCCGCCGACCCCAACTTGACAAATAAAATAATTTTCGTATTCGATGATGCCACCGGGTGGGGGGTGTGCAGGAGGGAAATGTACAGATGCGGCTTGTAGCGATGTCGGGGATGAATCGAGCCGTTCGCGCACGGATAAGCACCGTAATGTAATCGAATAAATGTATATTTATGTATTTTGTAGCTTTTAATATTTTTGCTTTAAACATTTTTCTAAACGAAGTTTTTGTATATTTTAGTGGATCTTTTTACATGCTTACTTTAAGTTTATTATAGTCAAATCTTTTTTTTTAATGATATTATTAATAAACACTAAATGATCAAGAATAATTACTGATTTTGTTTCTATCAATCGTTCCTTTTATTAATAATATCTTTCTTAACTATTCCATACAGGCTTGATGGATCGCTTCATTGCTTCATGCTGCCACCATCGCCGAAACGGGTTTAAATAACGAGTATACGAAAAATGTATTATATAATTATTCAGTGTTAAGAAGTATAATTTGTGAAAATTCTAAAAATAAAAAAGTAAATATTTTGATCTTCAGACGGCCTAACTTGTATTATAATTTATTATTCCAGCTAAAATAACTTTTTAGATGAGCATCTACGGTAGCGAGCATAATTTTAATGATTTTTTAATAATTGTTTTTAATGATTTAACAATTTTGCTAGTGGGGTCATAGTTGAGGTTCTTTCGGCTGTAACGATATTTTTGAAAGGTCCATGATATTCATAAAACATAATCAATAGTTGATTAAAAAAAGTATACCATTAATATTGCAAATTATATTTTATCCTGTCATAGTATGTCTATTTAATTTTTTAATTGTGTAACGAGCACCTTGTTTACTCACTTGTTTTGTCGAACTGCTTGAATCCATTTTTGCTTTTCATCCAATCAGTGTGAGAAACTATGAAGCTATAAAATGTAGAATGATGTTTCGGGAAAGATGAATATCCGGGGAAGTTGAGTTATTGAATGTTATTACGCTCTCCTTACGCGTTTACATTTTTTTGGCTATTTTATTAACATTTGAAATTGTCACAACACAAGACGCCTAGTTCGAATTAGGGGAGAGCGGGTACAATTGTAACGCGGTACAAATGTAACAGATACCATAACTTTTTTAAATTCAAATACATTATTATGGCACCCGGTCAGTTATTCAAATTCAAGACTCAGTACAATCTGACGACAGTTGAGACTTTTGCAATGGTGCAGTGACATAACAATAGAGCTATATCTATTTATCGACACAAAAGCAAAACTTAAGCCATTTTATCAGTTCTTAAATAACTATCATATCTCATAGTTTACAGTCAATGTAGGTATATACTTTTGTAGCCTATGCATGTATATTTAACATGATATGGTTCAGTTTAAGGTAAATTTTGCTCTAGTTTTTTAATTTCAATAAAAGTGCAGGGTTGTCAGTTCGGTACAATTGTAACAATTGCAAAGGGTACTTCTGTAACATGTTACAGTGATACCTACCCATTGTTTCGTTAGATGTACTCATTTTTTTAATTAACATGCCTAAGTAAAAATAATTAATAGTGATAAGGGACCTACAAAACAACTTATAAAAAGAGCTGCGGATTTGGTTGTGAACGAAAATCTTGGATTTCGACAAGTTGCTAGAAGTTTGGACCTCTGTCATGTAACACTTTTCCGTTATTTAAAAAAAATACAAGCTGGTGAAACTCCTAAAGTGGTTACAATCCACATACTCGAATTTTATCCCCCGAACAAGAAAAAGCATTTTTGGAAAAAAGGGAAATTCGCAAGTTGATATTTTTTTAAAGTTTTTAATTATCTTGTTTTTAATATTGTATTTTTTATAGGCGCATTAGTTTTTTTTAGAACGCTGTTTGGAAAAATCTACGATTGTGACTAGGTTAGAATTATTCTTAGAAAAAATTCTATAGAATAGGTATAACTTTTGAAGATTGTTGTCTGCACCAGTTTTTTCACATATTGTAAATAAAAGTTGGCATTCATTTTCTAGCAATTATTATTATTTGAATGCATCCAAATCATATCTTAACGTTTGTCAGATTCTAGGAGCTAAAATTTTATTTGCTTCAGATGAAAAATCAATATACTAAACACGTTACATTTGTCCCTCCTCTATGTTACAACTGTACCACCGCGGGGTACAATTGTAACACATGTCATCACACCACTGTTGCCTTTTTTAAGACTACATAGGTGAATATACCTTCGATTTCTTATGTGCATTTTGATGATAAATGTCTAGGCTATCTAAAGATAATAAGTACACTTCGCGAAATTTCTCATTCTATTTTTGAAAAATAAATTTCTAAAAACTGTTACAACTGTACCCGCTCTCCCCTACACAGGTCTGCGATCAAAAAGCTATTTGGTTACTTTCAACTGATTTCCACGTATTTTGTTGTGCTAAACACGAAAAAAATATTGAAAAAAATTCTAGACGTCCGGATACTTAACAAAATCCAAAATTCCTATAGTAATGATTGTATTTTTATTTTTTTTTGATATTTTTATTTATTAATGTCATGGTCTGTGCCAGATCCGTTTGCATTGCATTTTTAATTTTGTGTTAATTAAAAGCAGAAATTTATTGTTGCCAGGAGTGTCTTCTTCGTGGTTCCGATATCGCGAAAAGGAGTTCGTTACTTATTTTGCCCAGGAGAACGAGTTAGTTTATTGCACCAATGTTGAAGGTTTGATGGAAAAATATGATTCTTCGCAATGGTGTCAATTTATAGATTCATCAAAAAGTCTTAAAGCTGTTTTGATTCACAATGGCGGGGCTGCTATGCCTCCATTTCTGTAGATCATTCCGTACACCTCAAGGAAACCTATGAACTTGGAATTGGTTCTTCGCAAACTGGACTATGGTTGGCAAGTGTGTGGGAATTTTAAAGTCTTGTATATGTTTCTTGGACAACAAGCTGGTTTTACAAAATACCCTTGTTTTCTGTGTTTATGGGATAGTCGAGACAGACAAAATCACTGGACTAAGAAGAGTTGGCCGCCGAGGGAGCTCAAAGTTGGTGAAAAGAATGTTCTCCGAGAGACATTGGTACCACGCCAAAAAGTTCTTTTACCACCTCTTCACATAAACTTGGAATTAATGAATCTATTCGTAAAATCACTTCCACGAGATGGAGATTGTTTCAAATATTTGCTGGCCAAGTTTTCAGGCCTCTCGGAGGCAAAAATAAAGGAAGGTGTGTTTGTCGGACCAAACATTAGAAGGCTTATGACTGATCAACTGTTTATTAATACTATGACGGATCCTCAAAAAGAAGGGTGGATTGCATTTAAGGAAGTTATTGAGAAATTTCTCTACAATAACAAAGATCCAAACTACAAGCAAATCGTCGATAGAATGCTAGAAGCATTTAAATCTTTAGATTGCTTGATGAGTCATAAAGTGCATTTTCTCCAATCCCAGCTTGATTACTTTCCGGAAAACCTGGGAGCTGTAAGTGAAGAGCAAGGTGAACGATTCCATCAGGATATCAAAGAGATGGAAAAAAGATACCAAGGAAGATGGAACGTTTCAATGATGGCAGACTACTGTTGGATGCTTCAGAGAGACATTCCGAACGCTACCCATAAGCGTAAATGTACCAGACGAAGCGTCAATTAACGTTTCTTTTTTTGTGGCAGGATTAATCTGGACGAATCTATTTATCAACCATTATTAAATTTATTAAATTTATTATATGGAGTGCGTCTCGAAAGTAACTCACCCCTATAACTTATTTATTTTTCAATAAAAAACGAGATTTGGTATGTTAGTATATGACATAAATTAGGATTCATTGAGGTATTCAATCGTTTTTGGTCACTTCCTGTTTCATCGGAAATGAATAGGACTTTGATTTTTAAATGGCACCCTCGGACACTCTGAGTAGAATGACATAAGCCATGTCAACTTTTGAAATTTTCTCTTAAAACAAAATCGTATTTTAAATTGCCATGGCTGTATTAAAAACACTAATTTTTAATAAAGAAGCCTTTGAAAAATAGATTTGATCGTCTAATGTTTTTTGTGACTTGTCCTGGACGGTTAAAAGATGCCCAAATCGTATTTTTAATCATATCTCAATTTTCTCAAATGGAACAAGGGTGGCTCATTAGCATATTTGGAAATAGCAATTTTTGGTACCACACACTTGGTATTTCAAGTTAAATTGTCGTTATGAACAGTTACAATTTCAAATAAACCATATGCGAAAATGTCAAAAGTTGACATATGATATGTCATTCTATTCAGAGTGTCATATTCTATCGAATAAAGTAGAAATATACCAAGGGTGCCATTTAAAAATCAATAGTTGTTGTCATTTTCGGTGAAACAGAAAGTGACCAAAAACAATGGACTACGCGTCATTTAATGGTAATTTATGTCATATACTAACGTACCAAATTTCGTTTTTTACCTGAAAAAAATAAAAAGTTACAGGGGCAAGCCACTTTTCAAACGCATCCGGCATGTATAATAAAATACTTTATTTTATTTTGCTGTTGAAAAAAAAGTAAATCTTATAAGCAGTGTTAATGTATGTTATAAATGAATTAAAAATAATCCAACGCGAAAAATGTATATTCAATAACATTTGAAAATATCTGTTTGTATATGTTTTTTAGTATAATATGTTTTAA